GTCAGTACCCTTAATTTCACCTTATATTTCATTGAAGTAAATGGCAACTGTTGTGAGTGAGAGGGCAAACGGGGAATTAATTTCATGTTATTTGAAGATGTTATTGATTCACATTCTTTAATTACCGGACGGACTCTTGATCATTCTCCTATCGTATTGAGGTTAAGAGTCGAACGGCTTTTTCGTGTAGTCGAACATTTAGAGTGCGTAGGAATTTTGTTATTGTAACGAATTACGATATTATGAGTGAAAGTCTGCAGATAATAGTCAAATAACCGATTTACTACTCGGCCAAATTATGCTGCAGCGTAACTTTTCTGTATGTTACCGAATGAGAACGAAAAAAAAATATATGTTATAAAATTCTAGTAAACTTTTCCACTATGATGATAAGCACAAATGGAATTGCTCATACATAACGTGACTCATCGTCTTCTGCCAAGGTCATACACTAGATTCTTATACATCTCGTGATCTTAGACAAATTTTAGCGAATTTGGGACGCCATATGCTCTCTCTTTCGCCGTCAACGAAGCGAGGATGTGGTGTGTTGGTAGTGAATATTGAAGTGGGATGATCATTGCGTCATATATACATATGTGTGAGTGTGTGTGTGTGTGTGTGTGTGTGTGTGTGTGTGTGTGTGTGTGTGTGTGTGTGTGTGTGTGTGTGTGTGTGTGTGTGTGTGTGTACACACATTTCCCTCGTTAAAATAGTGGTTATTTATGAATGTTGTTTATATATTTTCTCTATAGCCTTCTTGAACACATAACAGCTGTTTACACTTCGGATTGTGTAGGAACGATTTTATCTTGCAATTGCATCTTGCAACGAGAAACTAGAATTTATGAGTTCAAAACATCTAAAGAAATAAAATCGTCAAGCGAAGTTGATATCTTGTTTCTCTTTCCCTAATCTGGTTTCAGTTCCAGATTATGATGCTCTTCCTAAATTTCAGAAAACATCGTAAAACGTCAAACAGGTCCCGATTTGTTAGCCATTTTGCATTAGTCATTGCGCCAGGGACTAAGAACAGGCTTTTTAAATGCAATTGGTTTATTCAGTTATTCTATGTTGTATTGTTTATTATTATTATTATTATTATTATTATTATTATTATTATTATTATCATCATTATTATTATTTATTATTATAAAAACAATAATGATAATTATTATTAGTAGTAGTATTAGTATTTATTATTTATTATTCGTGTGTGTTTACATGAATGTTTTAGTTTTATAATTGTGCAAATATTGCTAATAGAAAACAAGTTTTTCATGAATATGTAAATCTAGGAAAAACCTTATAATTAGATCACAGAGTGCAGTGCAAGTGAGTCATTAGTATAATCACTTAATTATTATAATAACACTGATTCACTTCGTTTAAGAACACTCTGGTGCATAGAATTCGGTGTGTGTTTGTGTGTGCGTGTGTCTGTCTGTGCGCGCGCACGCGCGCGTTTGTAGCTGAATCCAGATGATTCAGCTAATTGGTCGGGCATTTAATAAGAGATTGAGAATTACGAAACGCATTGGCTGTATAGAAAGAGAATTTGTACTTTTTTTCCAAATGATTGTCCGAGATGCTGTAGGAATTTACTTGTATTTGTTTAATATTTTAGTTAAATAGGAGAGAGAGTGAGTGAGTGAGTGAATTAATGAATGAGAGGGAAAGGGAGAGGGAGAGAGGGAGGAACAGAGAGAAAAAGAGACCTCCAGACCTAGAGGAAAGGAAGATTGACAGAATGGCCACGGGCGGGGAATGACTCGGATGCTGCCCGCGCCCGCGGCCGCCCGAAAGAAAGGCGAGAGGGTGAAAGAGAATACCGCAATTACCGCACCGGAAGTCCGAACATGTAAAGTACTTCCGGCGAGGCTGTGATCACACGTGTCCGCGCGCGGGCACGCTTTGCGGGCGCTCGACGCGGGCGCTCCCCGTTGCAGCGCCTTCTGCTGCTAGAGTGTGTGTGTGTGTGTGTGTGTGTGTGTGTGTGTGTGTGTGTGTGTGTGTGTGTGTGTGTGTGTGTGTGTGTGTGTGTGTGTGTGTGTGTGTGTCTGTGTGTCTGTCTGTCTGTCTGTCTCTAATCATATCCATATATCTGTTTCACTTGTCAGTCTGTGTGTTTGCGCGTGTACATGCACGTGCCCTCCCCCATATCATGTCATAAATAACAGATACTTGCCGTTTATTCGATTTCCCGCAACCGACTTCGGATTACGGACACTCGCTCCCTCGGTCGACGCTCGCTCCCGTGACCGGATTTCCCGCCGAGTCGGACATCCGGGTAGCGGAGACAGCTCTGCGGGGCGTTTCAAGTCTTTACAGAAGATACGTCGGGCGAGAAAGATTGTCTCACTGAATAAATTTTATTTATCGGTGAAAGATGTAAAGTATTACTGTAATTGTGTGATTTCCTCTTGATTTTTATCAACTTTGTCTTCAGAGTTTATGGTATTACACAGAGCTAGGGACGTGGATTTCTCTTTCTTGAAATCCTTGAGGGGATATCGCCGAACCGCTCGCGGCAGTAGGATGTGTTCCCCTACGTCCGCACATCCTATCCGGGATCCGCCGTTTCCCGTATCCGGACGCGAGCTGCCGTTCCCGACTCCTTCACGTGGTAGGATGGGCGAGTGGGGGGGGGGACGAGGCAAGGACCGGTCTGTTTTCCATATATGTGGTTGGGAATTTTCCTCTTCTGTGACCCTTAGTTATGATGTGCAGATAATAGAAAATATAAGATTATGAATGTATATTTTTCCTCGGACATTGGACTGAAATGTCGGGCAGTGTGATGGTTTTGCGCGGACGAGGAGCGCAGTGGAGTTTGGGGAGAGAGTAAATGGGAAGTTGTTTAGATAAAAATAGGTGGAACGCACGACAAATGTATCTAAAGATAAAATTAATGGCGGGGCTTTTGTCCGGACGGTTTCACCCCCCTCCTTCCTGGATCCCCCCTCCCCCCCTCTCCGAGTCCACCCATCGAGGTGAGAAAAATCATGAAGCTATTCTGGTTCCATTTATAAGCTAAGTTTGTTATTAATATCCTCGAAAAGAGATCCCTTTCGCCTCGCTCCACTTCTCCGGTTCCTTCTTGTCTGGCAGAAATAAAGTTCATGTTGGAATCTGAGTTACTGGCTATAACCCAGCTGACCTCCCCTTCCCCAGCCCCTTCCCACTCCCCTCCCCTCTCTCTTCCTTCCGCGCTCCCCTCTCTCTCTCTCTCTCTCCTTCGCCTCTTTCCTCTCTCTCGCCTCTCTCCTCTCTCTTTCCCTCGCCTCTCTCCTCTTTCCTCTCTGTCTCCTTTGATTCTCTCCTCTTTCTCTTCCTCGCCTCTCTCCTTTCTCTCTCTCCTCTCTCTCTCCCTCACCCTCACCTCTCCCTCACCTCTCTCCTCTCTCTCTCTCCCTCACCTCTCTCTCTCCCTTCCCTCTCTCCTCTTTCCTCTCTCCTCTCTCCTCTCCTCTCTCCTCTCTCTCTCCCTCGCTTCTCTCCTCTTCCTCGCCTCTCTCTTCTCTCTCCTCTCTCTCTCCCTCACCCCTCTCCTTACTCTCTCCCTCACCTCTCTCCTCACTCTCTCTCCCTCTCCTTTCTCTCTCTCCTCTCTCTCCCTAGCCTCCCTCCTCTCCTCTCTCCCTCGCCACTCCCCGTTCTCCCCCCTCTCCCCTCTGCTCTATCTCCCAGCCTTCTTCTTTTCCGAAGTCCCCTTCCTATATCCTCTCCCCTCCCCACTTCCCCTCTCCCCTCCCTACTTCCCCTCTCCCCTCCCTACTTCCCCTCTCCCCCCTTCCCCTTTCCCCTCTCCCCTTCCTCCTCTCCCCTTTCTCCTCTCTCTCCTTTTCCCTCTCTCTCTCCCTTTGTCCTGTCTCTCCCTCCCCCTCTCTCTCTCCTCCCCTTTCTCGTTTCCCTTCTCCCCTCTCCCTATCGTCTTCCCTCCGCTCCCCTTTCCCACTCTCCCCTTTCTCCTCTCTCCTTTTCCCTCTCTCTATCCCTGTCTCCCCCCCCTCTCTCTCTCTCCTCCCCTTTCTCGTCTCCCCTCTCCCCTCTCCCCTCTGCCTATCGTCTTCCTTCTTCCCTCCGCTCCCCTTTCCCTCCGCCCCTTTCTCCTCTCTCCTTTTCCCTCTCTCTCTCTCCTCCCCTTCCTCGTCTCCCCTCCCCCTCTCCCCTCTGCCTATCGTCTTCCTTCTTCCCTCCGCCCCCCTTTCCCCCTCTCCCCTTTCTCCTCTCTCCTTTTCCCTCTCTCTATCCCTGTCTCCCCCTCCCCCTCTCTCTCTCTCTCCTCCCCTTCCTCGTCTCCCCTCTCCCCTCCCCCCTCTCCCCTCTGCCTATCGTCTTCCTTCTTCCCTCCGCCCCCCTTTCCCCCTCTCCCCTTTCTCCTCTCTCCTTTTCCCTCTCTCTATCCCTGTCTCCCCCTCCCCCTCTCTCTCTCTCTCCTCCCCTTCCTCGTCTCCCCTCTCCCCTCTCCCCTCTGCCTATCGTCTTCCTTCTTCCCTCCGCTCCCCTTTCCCCCTCTCCCCTTTCTCCTCTCTCCTTTTCCCTCTCTCTCTCTCCTCCCCTTTCTCGTCTCCCCTCTCCCCTCCCCCCCTCTCTCCCTCTCTTTCTCTTTCGTTCGGCGTCTGTCTCTCTTTCTCTTTCGTTCGGCGTCTGTCTCTCTTTCTCTTTCGTTCGGCGTCTGTCTCTCTTTCTCTTTCGTTCGGCGTCTGTCTCTCTTTCTCTTTCGTTCGGCGTCTGTCTCTCTTTCTCTTTCGTTCGGCGTCTGTCTCTCTTTCTCTTTCGTTCGGCGTCTGTCTCTCTTTCTCTTTCGTTCGGCGTCTGTCTCTCTTTCTCTTTCGTTCGGCGTCTGTCTCTCTTTCTCTTTCGTTCGGCGTCTGTCTCTCTTTCTCTTTCGTTCGGCGTCTGTCTCTCTTTCTCTTTCGTTCGGCGTCTGTCTCTCTTTCTCTTTCGTTCGGCGTCTGTCTCTCTTTCTCTTTCGTTCGGCGTCTGTCTCTCTTTCT